CTACCCCAGGTCCTTGGGAAGGACTCAACAGGTGGATAAAAATGCCAAATCCAGTCTAAACTTCTGGCTGACTGTGCGACCAATCGTAATAATAATAATGTTCTTGGGACTTGAATTATTAAGTTTTTACCAGTCTTTAGACTGTGAATCTAACTGTAGATTAATAATAATAACCATCATCATCATCATCCTTGTTGCTGAAGAAAACAACTAATGAGATTTTCTCTGGGTGAGCTAAGCGAAGGCTAAATCTTAGTGCCAAAGATCATGAGGTAATGAATTTTCTTTCTCTGCAGTGAGTTGTCTTCTTTCCTGCTTAGTTAGACACAAGGACATTTCATATTTTTAAAAAAACTTTAAGCAAAATCTTTCCTTGGTTTTAGCAGCCCAGCCAAGTAAAAAACACTGAAATCTTGTTGTTTGAAAAAGTGGATAGAATGGCGATCTGTTTTTGCAGCAGCAGCAGCAGGACAGGCTCATAGTGAACATCCATTACACACCCAAGCCTGCATTCCCATTTTCTGCTATTTGACTAGAAATTACCCCATGCCAGCTTTTTCAGACCCTGCTTAAGAAGAAAAGACGGGAGGGAAACAATGACATTTATTCTGTTCAGTTTCAGGATCACAAACTCAGTTTCTCTATCCCATAGGAACATGGGGCACCTTGTTTCTTCAGAACCCATTGCTCATTCAGAGGACTCAGGTGACAGACTCCTCGGAACATCTTGGCTTTACTTTCTGTGACTTATCATACACACCACTCTGGCACTCTGCAAACATTTGACTCATGCCATCTGTTCCTCAGGCAGCAGCCTGTGACCTTCATGCTGTCCAGAAAATACATCTGTTCCCACCATTCCCCATTCCTCTTTCTGCGCTGGCTCCAAGACAGGCTGCCCAGGATGGAGCCTCTACTATGCATGGGGGCAGCGACAGGAGCAGTCGTGACTTAGCAACTGAAAAAAACAAGGCAAATGAAATGCTGCGGCCAAGCTTTGCTTTCTGGGCTCAGTTAATATTGGCCCTCAGCAATATAAGCCACCACTGCGGCAGTAGTCCATTGCTCTTCTACAGGAGAAGCAAAGAGTAAATGAATCAAATTCAAAAGGATTCTCCTAGATGCAGAGCTCAAGGCAATGAGCTCTCCTACAAAGTATATTTCCATGAGCTGTGGACACCAGCATTTGCCTCCATACTTCTCTCCAACTGATTTCTGCCTCCTAAGAGGAATTTCACACAGAGTGCTAAAAATGCCTCTTGAACCCCTTTTGTGAATGTTGTTTAGGAAAAACAGAACAGGGTCCTCTTAATTCTAGCCACTGTGTTATAAATCACTTTTTAAAAAACTGCATGAAGCTGTGCTAGGACTAAGAAACATGATGCACCTCAGTCTTTTGCTGCAGTTCTTCTGCATAACCCAGCGGAAGTAGCTCTCCTGATTTGCTGTACCAAGTGTAGATGGTAAGCGACATAAGATGGTGTCAATATTAGTCTTATGCAACTCAGAAAACACAAAACATCTGCTAATCGTACAATGGAAGTAAAGGAAAAAATGCCTGCTTGCATGAAGATGTTATCTATTCAGATGGTGCATAAGCAGTTTGTGCCTGAAAGCTGGGTTATGTGCAATGGCAGTCTGTGCCACCTACCGTCCATGCTGTCCTCACGACGTATATTGAAGTTCTCATAGGAATCTCTGCGGATGAGTGGATCTGAAGTGTTGTAATCCACTGAGACACTTGGGCCATTCTCCAGATGTTCCATGCCTGAGGAGCAAAGACCGCATAATTTCAGCAAGAAAGCTTTTGGTGTGGGGTCAGTGAGGAAAAAAACAGTAACATGATAAAGCAGAGAAGAAAAATCATAAGAAATAAAATAAAAGGGTAGCAGGTTCAATGGGTCATAAATACACCATATGGAAGAGAGCCAAGATCATGAAGCTAGGGCAGGAACCATATCTAGAATATCTAGAATCAAAGCGATGCGCAAAGAACTTGGCCAAGGAGTAAGGAAGTATATACACCAAGGAACTATTACACAGGAAAGGACCTCCCTGTTTACTGTAAGAATAGAATCAATAGTGGCTACTCAGGAACATAATGAATGGAGTTTCAATTCGCCAGGCAAAGGGAAATGGCAGTCTCTTTGTGAGGACTTACAGCATCTGGTGACTCAGCAGCTATCTGCTCACAGTGACTCTACTATGGATTTTGAATCTTTCAGTACTGATACAGGGGAAAGATGAGGAAATTGTAGCAGGCTACCTTTCATGGCAGTAAGTTTAACAAAACAACAAGTGTACAATTTCTGAGGCCTGTAAATGGGGTGGGGTGAAAGGAGGAAAGCAAATGGAAGTGCTAAGTACCAAGGGTTGACTATAAGAAAAAAGTAATACCTTGAATTTTCTCAGGACCATAGGAGAATACAAATTCCACCTTCCCATACTCAGGAAATCGCTCATCTGGATTTTTTTTTTTTAAAAAAAAGAAGACAAAATGGTACTCAGTAGAGATGTTTAAAATGTTATGTGAACAGAAGAGGCAGCACTGAGTGGCCTATGCCTGAACTGAAACATACAAGGCCATTGGTGGTACAATCAGTATCTAAGCAGAGGTAAGAAAGAAAGTTCTGGGAAGACTAGATGAAGTTGGACCAGCTGGGGATGCCAAGCCTGAATTCAACTATAGTGGCAGGGAGGCAGAGATTATTAATAAGGCACAGGAGACCTCCCCCTTTCTAGTGGAGCCAAGCATTTCCTTTTGGATAGAATTGCCCCTGGAATGGCTGACAGCCATATGATCATTATTTCCTCAAGTGCTGATTTTTGTCCACTACTGGCAGAACAATTAGAGCAAGGTCTGCTGTCTGATATTTCAGTGCTCCATAAAAGCTTGGGAAAAAATTAAAAACCTCCTAAACTGCTTTTACAGACTTCTGGACAAATACTTATATCATACAATATGAAGATGACCAACTGAAGTACCATTCAGCAAACAAAAACAAGACAGAGATGGCAATATAAAGAAAAGGAAAGGAAAAAAAAACGTAAGTCTAAATACCAACTTCAGTACGTTTCAGATATATCTGAATTAACATGATTGAAAACTACATACAGTATCTGAAGGTGAAAAGATAAATCAGTGGAATGCCATGTAATTGCCCCCACCCTTTGGAATATTCTCCCCCCAGAGGTGCGACGGGCCCCTACCCTCCCCACTTTCCAGAAGACCTGGCTCTGCCAGCTTGTGTGGGGTGACAAGAATCTTACCCAATCTTGGGGGTAGCTGGCACCTTGAAGTTCCCCGAGTTACTGCCAATTTTAACATCTGTCCTGGGATTATATTTATTTTCTATTTATTTAGGATTATTTTATACTGTAATTTTAATTGATTTTAACCGCTTTGTAAACCACCCAGAGTCATTTTATCGAGATGGACAGTGACAAGTTTGATATATATAAATAAATGGTTACGGCTACAGTACCTACAAATCTGTATCTGAACTTCTCACAAGTACCCACTAGATAAAGTGGAATGTCTTCTGATCTGAAGATATGCTAAAAATACTGATTCTTCCTCCCTAGCACACCTCTGTACCATAGTGTGGACCATTCTAGAAAAGCTACAACTTGGTTAAAATGGCCCCCACAAAAAGTGTAATGCATTTTATTACTACATGTCACTCTCCACTTTCTTTTCTTGAACAAAACTGCTTTTACCTTTAAAGGCATCATCCAGATCCTCCTTATTGAAGACAATAGCCAAATCATGAATGGCACAGGTGTGGAACTGCACCCGAAAGATTACATCCCGAGTCGGGCTACGGAATTCCTTGTGATAGCACTTCAACTGCCAGAGAAAAAGGGGTTTGTCAGCCTCCCCAGGTAGACCAGACAGGAAACATGACCAGATGGGCTAATTCTCCTTTATTGTAAGGCTATATTAATGGAATCTTGCAAGTCTGAAAGTACAAATGTCCCGCCATCTCTTTTTGCAGCCTGATAAGTTAGGGTGGGTCCTTTCTAAGTTTCTTTCTCTGCCCATTATGTAGATGTGGGCTTCTCCCCCTTTTATCTGATCGTTCCCCAGGCAGCATCTCTTCCCCCCTCTCTCAAGGTCTTTCTCATATATCATTACAGGGGTAGAGGGAACAAAATGAAGCATGCCATCAAACGGGGACCTACCTGGAAATATGAACGATTCTAACCATCTGCAGGAATACTATACTTGAACCCATTTGTGCTACAAAGACATCATTTCTCTGCATTTCCCCACAAAGACTGTGAATTCTTCCTGAGTTCATGGATTGCGGACTACAGGTTGGGATGAATCTGTGAATCTCTTAAGCCTTCTATTCTGGAATCTCTAGATGGGGTGGCCAACTGAAGCTATATTTTATGAACCAAAGCCCCACAGTGGTAAAAAATGAAAACATAAAAAGTCTTGCTTGACTCTTACCAAAATATCTCCCTTTAAGAGGAGTCCTGGTTCTATGGTGATACAGATGCTCGTCTGGCTGTCTCCCTGCACATTACTATAAAGAAGAAGAAAGAAGATAAATGTGGAAGACAATCAAAGCCCCTCAAGAGCTGAGATGTCGTTCCATCTGCCATGTCCAGGCAACAGCCAGTGTGGTGTTGTTAAGTGTCAAAGCAGGACCAAGACAACCCAGGTTTCAAGTCACTGGGTGACTTTGGGCCAATTACTCTTCCTCACGGTTGTTTGGGGAAAAAGAATTGGAGAAGGGACTGCTGTATAGAACTCCTTGAACTCCTGGAAGAATTTTTTCTTAAAAGAAGGAACCAGTCTGCCATTCTGGTGTTTCCACTTTCGTTTTGTGCTACAGTTGCTAAATCATTTTTACTGATCCTAAAAGACTGCTTAGATCTGCTGAGATCAGCACTGGAGACTGATCCAGTAGATAGCTGTAGCAAACAGTTTCTATTCTGAAAAGGGTGGTGATCCACAAAAATATGGCTTTCCAGGAATGCCCTTACCAAATTTTGTTGCGTCTACTCTTCATGCAATCTACTCCAGAATATACTATAAGCAGTTGGTATATCTGGACCTGGTCAGCATTTCCACTTCTAAGTTTTCTGTTTTGCATGTGAATACGTCAGAAGCAAGAATTTTCTTGCATGTACATAGACAAAGGTTTGCCATAACCTTCATTTCATCCAATATCTTGCTGCTTCTCCATTGTTACCAGAGCTTCACTAAGAAAATTCATTGAATAAATTCAATTTTAGTTGGTCAATTATAAGCCAAGGTAAATTGTAATTGATGGGATTATGATTTAATGGTACATTTGCTGACTTGAATGGGAGGGAAAGCAATAAAAATAACTATCTCACATTTTTATTCAATAAAGCTTTCATGAAGATTGATTGTACATGTACATCAAACTGATTATTAAATGGTTGATTTAAATTTAGGTAGGTAGAAGGGGAAAAAACTTTAATCAATGAAGTCTTGTTTCACACAAAGACAATGTGCTATTTTCTCTCTGGATAACTTTGGGCCAATAACGTTTTCTCAACCCAACCTACCTCAGAATTTAAATATGTATTTAAATTTAAATACAATGAGAGATAATCCAATGTAAGTATCTGGAGTTCTTTAGGGGAAAGGCAGTATATAAGTGTAAGCAAAAATGCATAAATAAAATTAAGCTGAAAGCCATGAAGAGAAGACTGGGAAAGGCTGAGGACAGAGCTGCTAAGTCTCCTGAGGCCCATTATATGCTTGCTTGTAGTAGTAATAACAACAATAACAAATGCAGCCCCCAGGCACAGCACGAGTCTCTGCTCCAGCCACATACTCTAGAGCAGTGTTGTCCAAATTTGGCCCCTTTAAGATGAGTGGACTTCACCGCCCAGAATTCCCCAGTGGGCTGGGGAATTCGGGGAGTTGAA